AAAAGGTGACCATTGGATAGAGCTCGTCGAGTTCTATCTACGTATGTCATTTCCATGTTTTGGTCCTCGCTGTGGGCGAATCGCGATGCGTAGCACAACAAAAATCTGATTTTTGGCTTGTTTTTTTACAGTATTCTAGGTTTTTCTCCCACTTGGAATGGTACTGGAGCAAAAGTAAATAGTGCATTCGATGGAGCTCGTTAAGTTCTATCTTGGTCCGCAGAGTTTAGTCTTCGGTTCCAACTGTGAGCGAATCCAGTTACGGAATACTTGAGTCCAGGTCCAGGATATCCTACGTAGATTTCTTTATAATACAATTCAATTACACTTATATGGTTAATCTTCAATAATTATTCATAGAATTTATTCTACAAATGAAGTTAAAAGAACATTTTAACTAAAACATTTAATTTACTTCAATATTCAATTTCAAATGAGTGAAATTAAATTCGTTTGATTGCTAATACCCAATAAAAATTCTCTGTGTTTGTCGTTATTCTTCATCATTTGAATAAAAATGCTCATTATAGTAAAAAATTTTTTATTGTTGTCTTTTGTTCGTTTTATCAATAACAAAAATTTTTTTTGATTGGAAACGGAAAATTTTTTCGAATGAATTTTTCTATGAAAATCGAATCTGTTCATGTTGATCAAAAATTATCTTAGGAGATGAATTCGAACATTAATTGAATATAAATTTTTCATCATCGTTAATCATGAAATAATTCTATTATTTCGAATTTCATTTTTAATCATTGTGGATCGATATCGATTGATTAGATTAATCGGCAGGTCATTATTATAAATTTAATTCACTGATCGCTTGATTGAAATATATCATCATACCAAATCTCTTAATTCAGTACTTATCTTCAGATATGATTCATTGTTTCAAAATAATTTAAAAAATTATTTCAATGAAAAATTGATTTATTTTAAATGAATTCGATTAATGTTTCATTATGAATAGTATTTCATTTATTTAAGCATCTAATAATAATTTATTTAACAACTATCATACCAAACCGTTACTATTTAAGATTTATTTTGATTTTGAGTACATGAAACGTTTATTATTTTTAAATAATAGAAGTTTTAATAATTATTAAAGATCGACGATTTTTTTACTGATTCATGCTGTATCAAATACTAAGTTCACTCCTCTTTATATAGTCCACTGTTAAGGTTGACGTAGATTCGAGCATGATTGAAAAAACATAGATCTGAACTAAAGTTAATGATTTAAGTAAATATAAATTCATTGACTAATTGTATAAGATATAATATTGTCTAGTACTAAACAGTCAATGCATGTATTTGTATGGTCGCTAACTTTTCAAAAATTTAATCATAGTATTTGTAACTAATTAAGAGGTCGACTGTAGTATCCATTCTTCTTTGTCATAAGAATTGATATAGATTAATTTTGTCAACTCATATAACCATATAATATTGTTTTAGAATAATGGTTTCGTTTGAAAAATAATCATAATACAGTAATTAAATTAATTATTCAACGAATTACAATTCAGTTACGTAAGAGTAAAATTTTAAATTAAATCAACGTACACATTAAATGATAATTAATTGTTATCGA